AAAAATCAAATTGATCAATAGATTGAGAGCCTACTTTTCTTCCTGGTACTTGAAAAAATTTGATCTCGATATTTTGAAAATTTGAATTGTGCTCAAGGAAAAATTTTGAGCATTATTTTTGGGCATAGCACTATGATTTCATGGGGGACTCTCAAAAGCATAATGCTCAAAATTTCACACCCAAACTCTGAGATCCTTTTCATAAAACTGGCTGATCCTTTTTTAGAGAAGACAGACCTAGATTATCAAGAGAAAAATTTGTCTACGGAAACTTCGGAGTCTGAATGTTGCCGTTAGCATGACCGTGATAACCTCACTCTTGCGTTCATGGACGAAACTAGTTTTGTTTTGTGAGGTAACACCGTAATTTCCGCAACGAACAAAGTTGTCTAGCTCTGCCAGATCACTTTGTTTGAGGCAGACGTCATTTCTTTGTGTATGTTTGACGTTTGCTAGGAAGGTACTCACAAGCGTTGCATTTTTAAATGCGATGTAAAGTTCGTCATTTTTAAAAATCTTATCTCAAAAATCATCATAAATTTTGCATTGCAATTGTTGCTCACGCGATTTCATCTGCACACTCAGGAAACGTGTATTAAATGGATTTTCACTTACTTTCTTTGAATATTATAACCGACAGAAATTAGTTCTTTATTTCTTTCAAAATATTTGAACATAAGTGGCGTGGGCTTGAACCACTCGAGACATTTAGCTGCATATTAATAGATAAACAATTACTTAAAAACATCGTTGATGCTGATACTAGATATTGGTCTTCCTTTAATGTGTAGCGTGTGATAAATGATCCTTGAACCCTTTCAACCTATTTACCCGACCGTAGGGCAAATGCAGAAATATTTCCGGTAAGAGAGATAGCACAAGTAATCATTTTATCATCTGTCTGTATCAAGACTAAGAACTCTTTAAATGATCGAGTGACATAAGTTTACTATATTCCCAAATAGTTGATAGTTTTAGACGAGACGACTAAATCGCCCGTCGGCCTTTCAACACAGTGAGCAGATTCGGACTTTCACCGGCTAATTCGCTCGTCATAACTCGAATATAGATTGCTCTCAAATCAAATATCTCCTACCACACGGTTTCAATAGATAAGTTTGCAAGCGAGAAAAAAAAAAGACGATGAGATTACGAAAAATGGGTAAATATCAAACTTAGAGGAAGAATTTGAGATGGTTTGAGCTGGTTTAAATTTACTGCTTTCTAATAAAAGTTAATGTTGCCCTTCATGGTGAATGACGCTTTGCTAATTGTGTTTTGAAAAGGATCGCAATGAACCGCAGCATACATTTAGAAGTTCGAGATTTACAATGACGTTTATCATGATAGCATCGCGTGAATCCGAAGAGACTATACATTTTATTCAGTGCTTAGATCCAAACAATAAGATAAAGATATATTGGGCTAAAAAGCTCCATTCAGTCTGGAAAGCTGAGCAACAGTTTTACGTATTTCCGTTCAGTTTTGCCTTTCAAAGTACGTTGGTTGATGTTGTTCTTTGAAATGATACTTCATCAAGATTCCGTCCACAATAGGCAGTAAAGTTATTGTGCTAGACTCACGAGTAGTGAACGACCCGAACAACAATTTTAAGTATTTCCGTCAAACTTCGCCCATTGAACAGGTGTCCAAAGTACGCCTCGTGTAGAAAAGAACCACTAGGTCATGATAACAGATAATCATGCGAACCAGGAGATGCGGTTGAAATGACGTCAAACCAATTGACTGCGCAAAGCAATTTAGGGTAATTTGAATGTTTGAAAAGAAGCGACAAACATGCAGAAAAATAATAAGCCTTTTGCTTGGCGTGGCCCCCTTTATTTTCAAAATAAATCAGAGAAGTAAGTCCAGTTTTTCCTCTTATTTTAGACCTCGAATGTTCATCCAGAAACTTTATTAACCGGGTTAACGAGCCTGGTAGGAGGAAAAAAAGGGTGACAGGAAACGAATTTTTTAAATTTAGAACTACCAGACGTAAGTTATAGGGCATTACGTAACAGCATTTGGCAACATTTTGTAACATTTTTTGCGCGAAGCGTAAAACCACCTTTGACTGGAAGGAATTTACAGAAATCATCAGATTGGTAAGATAAAAAGAAGAAACATAAGGAACAATAACAAACAAACGAAATACAGGATGGCTGACGATGGGGAATGTTCAACGTATTGCAAATTCAAGCTGAATTTTTTAAATTCACAATCCGTGGAGCGGTAGTTTAAAAGCAATTTTTAAACGTCCAACCGACTCCACATAATGCCCGCACTCGGAGCACTGATGATCCATAATACTTGTTATATACCGAAATTAAATGCTCCGTCCGATTAAAATACTTCGTGCGAAGAACTCTAGCTCTTGGTGAATTACCGCGAACCTGGAATCTGCGTGATTTAAGATTAAATAGTTTCGTGTACGTCTTTTGTGTTAACCCGTTTCTATAGCTTATTTATTAATTTTTTTATATCACTATTGCATTGGTCTTGTGAATATTTTTTATATGTACGAATAAGGTTATTAAAACTTGAAGTCTTCAATGGTAAAAGTCGTCCTTACTTTAAAATAATTCCTTTGGATGAGTAGAGTGAGTTTGTTGCCACGGGGCTCAGTTCATCTCAATTCAATGTTAGTAAGCTACATTTTGTGCATTATCCTTTTTATCAACGTCTCTAAGTGATGGACATGTCATTTCCCATCACAACTTCAATACATCGCCTATCGAGTTAATAATGAGAATACAGAAATTAATCAGCTGAGGCGTACCAACTTGATTTAGAACCAAATTCTCTTAAGTGAATTCAAAGGAAAAGTACAACAACTAGAAGAGAGAATCATGCACCACATCTTCGAGCGTAGAGTTCAAAGAGGATTTTTGTCGCATAGCAAGATTTAACTTACTCCCGGCGCCATTTTTTTAAAAATCAAATTGATCAATAGATTGAACCCAGGGCAAGAATTTTCCTCTTTTCGCCGAAAATTCCCTAGAAACGCTATATTTATTTACAAATGCAGCCAAACAAAAAGATGTTGGAATGAGGTGGTTTAGCCAATCGCATTGCATGCCTTAATTCCTAAATACAATATCGCGTATTTTGTACGATGATGATGAGTTGACAGTTTCCGTAAATAGTCACAAGACAATTAATTCCGTGTACCTATGAAAGGATGTTAAATAAACGATGATATCATCGAGGTAATCCACAAGTAGTGACTCCCGTTTCTAGCCGGGCTGATCTCAAAGTAAGTGCGTATGAATTTTCTGACAGGCTAACAAACGTGTTTAATGTTCAGTACACAATTTGTTATTTTATTTTTTTTTTTATGTCTTGTGACATATGGTGGCAAGTTCTAAAAACATCTATCATGACAGTTACCGCAACATCATTCTTTATTTGTTTTCCGAACTTTATTAAGGGAGGCTCTCTTATGTATTCTCGCGTGCTTTCTCTGGCAAGTTAACAAACCTGATAATTTTTAATACGCTGTTTATATTTTTTTGCCGAATCTTGTGAAAAATGTTGACAAGTTCCAAAGAATGTTTTATCGTTGGAGTCACAAAGTGAAATTTTGTTCAGGAAGCTCTTCAATAAGTTCTTGCTTTCGCTCGTTTAATTTATCCAGCTTCATTTTCTGTGTCTCTAATTGTGTTCCATGATTTTGCCAAGGTGCTGTTGACAAAGTCAACCTGCAAGTAAAGGAAGTTCCGATGGAAAGGAGAGGTGATGTAAACGGAGAAGTTGCGCTGGATTTTCCAGGAGATGGAAGTTACAACCACAGACCTCCACATTCACCGACTCTCGGTCATGCACAGTGGAGCCAATTTTCTTACGAGAACCAAACTACACAGCCACAAGTAAGGCTTACTTGATAAATGCTTAGTTTTCAGTTAATTCAGTGTTCTTCATGAATAAATAAAACATAAATAAATTAAAAGGTACCAAACATGTTCAATTTGGCCAGAAGTCTTAAAAGATCCTCCGTTTTGAAACCATGGGTTGTGGAATATACACCAGGGAGCCAGGGCCAATATTAGGCAGTAGCTTTATTTTACACAAGCGATTAACTTTGTTTAAGGAGGGATTTTAATTTTTTTAGCACTATAACAACTCGCGATGGAACGAACTATTCAGTTATTGAGAAATATAATTTACACCACTTTTAATATCTTTTGTCTAACGACACTTTAGGCCCTTTTGGTCTGTTACGCAGCTATCTTATCTCTTTAGGCAAAAGCATCATAACTTTTCTCCTAAGCACTATTGAAAATCAAAAATGATAATTAAATGAAAACAATTCTTCAAAAAGTTTAAAGCTACTCAATATTAGTAACTTCAATTTTACAAATTCCTCCTCGACTTTAAAACGGTCTGCCCAAATCGACCTATATCGTATGTTTTCCGTTCACTTGATTGCATAGGAAATATTTAAGAATCCTGCAAAGTGCACGCACTTGAAGAATTAGTTTTGTAAGCCTCTTTAAATAGCTTCAGGAAAAGTAGCTCAGAAAGATTATTTGTATCATTCCTTAGTCTCTTTTCCCTTAATTTTCGTTTGTAAACTGAAACAATCTCAGTTACCGACGACTGCACCGGAGTATCAGACCGTTAAAGAAGATGCATTGTGTCTGCGGTTCTGGAAATTAAGAGCTGAACCCACTACTTGTTGAAACTCTTTCAGATCTGCACTTCAGTGCCCTACTGAAACGAGTGAGTTATCATTTGGACGTAAAAACTGGCGATGCTTAAACAAATAACTTGAAAACATAGAAAAACTAACAGAGAAGGAAAACCTTAAGAACAGGAACCAGCAAGCCTTTTTACGCAGAAGAAAGGAAGTACCTTTCAAGATTACCATATTACCTTAGCTGAGTCATTTGACGTCATCGCGATAAAGTTGTTGTTTACTTTTAATTATCTCGCTATCACCAAAAGCCAATATTACAAATCTGTTCTTTTTTTCTTTTTCTCATTGTATCGTCAGCGAAACCGGCCGGCGTTTATTCACAAATATTGGGCCGTTTTCAAAACGCACCTGAGAAGCCTATGCAAGGAGCTTTGACGCTGACTTGAAACTCTAACAACTATACTCAGGGAAGCTCTTATAATATGTGTGATATCCACTTCACTAATTTCAGAAATGATGAAAGTTTAAACATGAATGTCCCATGAAAATCAAAACGGCTTGCTTTAAATTGTTTCCATGGGCACACGCTATATGAGGCCTACGTACCGGATATTTCTGCGGTTGTATGTAAGGAAACGAAACTTTATTGGACATTAATTTCACTGACCACAGGCAGCGTCATGAATTTTGAGCTTTACCCGTTGTAAAGTCTATAGCTTCGAAATCGTAACGACTGGATTTTTCTTCATCTTTTCTTCTTTAATTCTGGCATTTGTCTCCATGAAACATTTCATATTAGTCTCTGGGTTTATTGCATTCGGTTTGCACTAAAATTTTCCGGTGCGATTTGAGAGAGAAAGAAAGAAAAAGCCCGTTTAGAAAAGTCACTGTATGCCTGCATTTGAAACAGTTCTACGAACAAAAACCAAATGCACACCAGAAAGCGAAAGTTACCTCTGAAGTAAACTAAGTTAGTACAACCTCAGCTACGCGGCTCAGCGATCAAGAAAAACTTCACGAAAGAAATCACTGCTCATCTACTTAAGAGGGACGTTGCTAAAGCAATAAGGGACAAATTGTTCGTGCTTTAAAGTCGAATTGGTCATTACTACGTAACAAAATGGTATCATTCTCAAAAAAATTTTGAATATGCCTGCACATCCAGCGTTAAAAAAAAAAAAAAGAAAAACAGAAACTTGAGACTTCTCTCGGGTCTGGTACACCATAGAGCATCTGTGAGGCACATTGACCTTGGAAATTAAGAGCCAAATCCTCTATAACTTGAGTAGTCCTGTGAGGTAATGAGTGCGGCTAACATCAACTCCCTTGTTTTTTTTTTTTAAGTGGGGAAGATTAGCTCAAATGTGTGACTATTAACACTTTTCAAACATTTCATATTTTCCGTGAAGACTCACAGCCCAAAGCGCTTTAAAGTACGAAATTTCGATGGAAAATAAAAAGTTGTTCGACACCGTCTCAAAAGATTCGTTTTAAAGGAACTTCGACTCAGTAGAGTCCCGTACAAACTGTGTTAATAGCGTAACCGATGGGAACAATCCACAAACCTATTTTAATTAAAGCGCTCTTTCTGTTAAGTTTCAAGTTCATAAGAACGTAAGAAAACAAAGCAATAACGGAACAATAACAACACTCGGCTGGAGATTATTGGCACTTGCTTTGGTATCGCGCTTCATAGTCGATCTCTTTCCCCCTCTTGCAAGCATCTTTAGCTTGCAGCTGAATTAACCTGAACAACAAATGCGCTCAATTAAGTCAAATATCTGAATTACTTTTCACCTTAACGAAACACGAGAATTTATTGAGCTATCAAAAGTCGGTCAGTAGTGACTCAAAGTGGATACAGTAAATTTTAATTTTATTTAAGAACTTTTTAAGGAAGATTAAGGTCAAAGACTGAGGTACTGTATTTAATACCGGGTGCATAACACTTGATATAGACTCTTAGATAAAGATCAAACTTCACTTTGAGTTGGTCCAATTATGAAAGTGGCATAGTCAAGCACCTTAGCAATGTCGCTTTTAATATCAAGGGAAACAGGATTAGATGATAGATTGTTACCTGGATAAGAGAAAACAGTCTCAAATTCAACCTAGAATGCATGTCTGTCACTGTTTTTCCTTTTGGGTTAGTTTACAGATATAGATTATCTCGTATTTTTAGCATATAGAGACCACAACTTTGCTGAATCATAGCAATTTCAAGTGATATGACGTTATCAGCATGCTTTAAATCTAATATCAAGCAAGAATATCGAACTTTGATTATAGCTAGCAAATGCCGTTGAATATCAAATGAACACGGTGTGTTCAAATGACGATAATAGAGGCATTAATAGAGCCATTAATCATTATGATATGTATGATTTATCATTTTTTATCAAAAGACCTACCGGCCGTAAATCAATATCTAATATTTTAAGCATGCAGCAAATCAATAACGTTACCGAAACCACATTCAAATAGGAATTAGAAGTGAACCAAGTGATTGAAAAAAGAAATCATAAACCATGTTAGTGACAGTCGTTCTACGCTGATTTTAGAGTAGAAACAAACTGGCTGGAACTTTGAAACAAACGGATTCATTCTTTTAGTCTTTCACCTTTTTACACTCCAACATGTGTCCTTATACTCCACTCACTTCTCCATACATTTCCTTTGTTACTGACGAAGACAATTTGTTTAAGTATCAAAGCTTTCTCGATTGGCAATCATTTCCTTTATTTCTCACGATCTTACTGAATGATTCTGTAGTGTTACTGTAAACATAAATTCGATGTTGGAGCTCGTTTCTCGAACGTCACGGTAACTTAACGAGCCCGAAGCCATGTTTTAAAATCAACATTTTAAGGACAGGAAAGCAAGTTCTGGCACCCAACCCAGTCCTTTTTGTTTCTTTAGCTGATAGTTTTATTGTATCATTTTGAAAACTTTTAAAAACCTCATTTTTAATGAAAATAGAACAGCTTTACGGGCCCATAAAGTTACCGGGACTTTCGAGAAACGGGTCCTAGGTCACTCTTTGGGTTTAGTGGGTTTGTAACGAATTTATGTGGTTGCTAAGGCAACGCCACTGGACACACTTGCGAAATTTCCCTGAAGATTAGACCAGTCCATTACCCTCGCTGCTGGACAAAGTTTTAGGATTTTTTTTTTATCTTGTTGAAGAAATTAAAGAAGTTGTAATTCTGCCAGATATGTGTTTGTGAATTTTTTCTCTAATAATGTCGAATTTGGATCTACTTATCGTGCAAAAGGTCGTCGGTAACATATCTATTAATTGGGTATTAATAAGTTGAAATAATTTGTTACTTACATAGTTTCATTTATTTCGTCTTTACTGATTTACTTACTTTTGATTATCAGAACGACTCAGGCGTGAATGCAAAAGTAAAGAGAAAGCGAACCCCATTGGAATGGTTCAAGAAATATTTCTTGGAAGGTAAGTTAGTCGCAGTCTTAGAGCCTCTCAAGTCGTGTTTCGTCTAGAGATAATGAAAATGTACCAATATGCGTTCACTACGATTTACTTGTGGTTTTGCTTGGTCAAAATGGGACTTATCTGGGCAATAGAAAAGAGAATTAATGCCATTCCTGTGATACGAATTCTGTAGCTTTAACGTGCCGCCACTTTTATCAACTCATTGAGGAGCAGAAATATTCCGTGAATGGCTAACACATGTACGTAAGAACACTGACAAAGGCAAAGCAACTTTAATGAACAATTTAAAAATCTTAGAGAAATGCCGTGGAAAGTTTGATTGCTTTTATTAATGGATGTTACTCATCCTCAAACACTCAAACAACCTCCTTCCAGCAAACTATTTCATTTAGTTATTCCATTTCTTTTGTTCTCCAAATTTGAATGCCTTGTTTCACACCTTCGTTTTTCATATTTCACTGTCAATATCTTTTCATTTATACTTCATGAAAGTGACGTGTCGCCGTCCAAATATCATTTTTTTTTTTTAGCACTGCTTTTCATCCCTAGAATAAATTTGAGGAAGGGAAGAAACTGGCAACGGTTCTGAGCGAAGCTAGGGTTAATCAACTACAAATTTTGAATTTGACATTCCAGGTCAAGCACTGACCGACACTCAAACCCAGGCTCTTCAGAAGCTCGACCCGAACGCACCATGGCACGAGAGACTAATTGTCCAGCACCGTCGACTGGTGGGCGTGGCCATTCCCTTTATCTTCTTTCAAGTTATTTGGTGGAGTAGCGCCATCAATTACGACTTCTGGAGCCTGTTCCCTGACCGATATTTCATCTCCATAACGATGATATTTGGCTCAATGATTGCAGGTAAATAGTTTCTTAATTGGCCCTTACGAAAACCTCACTTTCTTTCCTTTGTTCGTTTGTTTGTTTTTCCCGGCATCGACTGGACTAAGTTAGACAATCGATGGCTTGAAAGTTGGTAAAGATTTTTATTTTCAACTATGCAGATTAAAAGCGCGTTTCGTTGCAAAAAGATTTTGTCTATCCTTGTCGCACTGTATTCCAAACTAGATCAGTGTTGAATACATAAAAGAAAATTCATTCTTCATAGGTATCTCCTGAAAAAGAGCATGAGACCGTTTATGTAAGCGATTGTTGCGCTCTTTCATTACATGCTGAACCAAAGAGTCAGTACATTCTATCCTAAACAATCAGAAAGCTAAATACTGCATTTCCAATTCCATGAGTCTTTCTTCAACTGCCAAATGTTGATTTATCGAAAACATAATCAGTTCTTCTCTTCCGTGTTAGGAATGACAAGTGAAGGTGGAGGCGCGGTCGCTTTTCCCGTCATGACCCTCGCTTTTAACATTGCTCCAGCAGTGGCGCGTGACTTCTCACTGATGATCCAGTCCTGCGGTATGACAGCGGCGGCTTTCACCATCTTTTGGATGCGCGTGCAGCTTGAATGGCACTCCATCATATTCTGTTCGCTTGGTGGAATCGTCGGCATGGCACTTGGTTTGGAGTTCATTGACCCTAACCTCACCCCACCTCAGAAGAAAATTGGTTTTGTTTGCGTGTGGTTCTCGTTCGCTTTTGCCTTGTTCCTTTTGAATCTCTACCACAAGCGAAAAACATACAAAGTCATCCCAGATTTCACGCTATGGAAGATGATTGTTCTGACTTTAACTGGATTCATCGGCGGAATTTTCTCTGCCATTGCCGGAAGTGGCGTGGACATCTGCAGCTTCAGTATGCTGACACTTCTGTTCCGAGTAAGTGAAAAGACGGCAACACCAACTTCCGTTGTGCTAATGGCGGGAAATACCGTGGTGGGTTTCTACTGGCGCCAAGTTATCCAACAAGCTGTGAGTGCCGACGCGTACTATTACCTGGCAGTCTGTGTCCCAATTGTTGTGTTAGGAGCTCCCCTTGGCTCTGTGTTGGGCAGCCATTTCCATCGACAGGTCCTTGCTGGTTTGATATATGTCTTGGACACCGTGGCCCTGGTCAGTGCGTACGCGATCGTCCCACTCACTAAGGCTTTGATCGGAGTTTCCGTGGGTATCATAGCTTTTGGATTCGTGTTTTTCGGTGCCATCACTTACGCTGGACAGAAGATTATGGAAAGTATTGAAGAAGAGAAGGAACAACTTCCACAAACTCATGTCAACGGAGATGTGAAAGAGAAAGAAAGCGGAGTTGTTAACCACAGGAAAGAAGGAAAAATTGAAGATATTGACTTAGGAAAGATGAATCCTGGGTTTTCTTCCCGCACAGATGTCTCAAACCAGCTGTAAGGGTGCGTTATTACAAATTATTTCTTTGACTCTCAGAACTGATCAAAATACATATATTCTCCTGGCTAGTATTCAGTACAATGTTATGCAGGAAGGTAGCGAGAACAAAGGAAATTGTCAAATGGAGGATGTGGTCTTCATAAAACATTCAATTCTTAGAATATGTCTAACGGGAAATATCTTCTATACGTTAGGATAATAACATCTGACATTTTGGTAATGGAAGGGATATATAACTATGGCTTCAAAGAAACTACTGTACAGGGACAAAACACCTGCATGTAGTCAAAAAACTGTGAAGCAACTCCCTCAACCTCCTATTTAACCAAGTGAGCTCCACATGGAAATCCATTCGCTTAAAGTAAAGAAATGATAGTGATACAGACCTTATTGGCTTTTACAGCGATCGGAACCATATAAGTATAAATCCATCAGTTATTAACCTTCCCCATGACCCGAATTCTTTAGAATAATGCTGCATTGATTACCATTGGGAATTCAAATTTACCTAATTTCGTTCACTCATCCATTCGTCCATTCATTCACTTATTCATTTCTGCATTCAGTTATTTTGTCATTCATTCTTTGACTTTCTTTAAGATAATTTAATTCCATGAGAACAAATTGCGCCTATGGCAGAAAATATGTGTATTTTCGCATGTTATTGTTGTTATTGTTGTTGTTGTTGTTGTTGTTGTTGTTTTTTGTTCTTTACCACCATTTCAAAACGTGACTCCAATGTCATTTTGGCGCGTCACACAATTTTGCATAATAATGTATGCGTGACAAGCGCAAACAACGGCAAACAAACAGATCTGGCAAACAGTCATTTTCAAACAATCCTATTGTATTTACTCATCGTACAACAAAACCTATGTACGAAGGGCTCCGACGAAGGGCTAACGCTTGAAATGTCAGCTTTTGTAATCGTTACGGTGGCCAATTTACCATTTCAACTTTCTTGATATATCCAAATTATTTCGTTACTCCCACCAACGCAGCCCCAAACAGTTTCTTTCGAAACTATCAGCCTATATACAAAAGCGTAGTGATTCATCCAATAAATTATTTCTTGCAGCCTTTGGGTCCAATTTAGCTAAACTAAAATCTTGCAAAGGTTTTGACTGGTTCACAATCTATTAGTAATTCGTGTACGTGGTGCGTGGCATTGACTTCCAAGTAAGCATATGTCTGGAGGGATTCAGTTCGATTAAGAACTTACACACAAACTATGAAGCATAGTTTTGAAAAAGTTCCATATATGAAAGACAGTTAAGGCCTTATACGATGAAATTCTTGATCAAGGAACATTTCCACGTAAGCATGAATGCAAATATGTCGTTGTTCTTTTCTCACTGAGGTTGTGAAAGAAAGCCAATTCATCCACTGAGCCCTCCTGTGCTTTCTCCAGGTGACATTTGTTGCTTAGATAATAAATTTTCATCTCTTTAGGAGGCCAAGAGGCTAAGAGCGTGGAAAAAACTTGTGTCTGACGCACAGACGCGTTTTTTGGCGCGAAGACTTGTAATCAATGTGGCAATAGTTGAGACACTTTTAGATGCTAGTTTAAGAGAAATATATATCTGTAAATAGAAACAGACCACAAACAGTTTTGTGTCTGTTATTTTGGATGTTTGCGCTTATCTCTCAGATTTGACTGTAAATGTCAGATTTTTTATAATCAAAACACTTCATTGTTGTAAATAAAATTTCATCTACTCTTATTAAAAATGTGTGGTTAATGTGGTCCTTCTTTAATTTTTACATGCATTTGCTCGTTTAATATTTAGCGTGTTTGTTTCGTCGGGAGGGTGCGGCTCAAAGAGGACTGTTCTTAAACCCAAAACTGAAAAAAACAAAAAAAAAAAAACAAAAGCAAACAAAAACAAAGGAAATAAAGGAAAAAACACTCGTGCCCTTCATTGACCAAAGCAATAGGATCTGCATTCATTAAGAGCCTCCAAAATTAATTCCTTTTCTTGAAACCACTTTCCAATCAGGGAAATTCGTGCAGCAAAGACAGTGAGACACTTAACACATTTGAAAACCCTTTAATAATAATAATATTAATAATAATAATAATAATCGACTTTATTATTTTCAAGAAGTAATCATACAATAACTCTGACTCATAGCTTAAATCGTATTTTTTCACCCCGAAGTTCCCCTGGTTAGCACATCCATGCTGTTACATCTTGATGCATCTATCAAACACTAAAACCAAAGAAAAAAGGTCCAATTAATATTAAACCGCTTGCTTCCTTTAACTCTGGTATATAAAGAGAGCTCTACTATGGACCCTTTAGAGACGCGAACTTGAGTTCTTTCACAGAGCATCTTCTAGAAATACTCTGTATATAGCATTAGCCATGTTCAAAATGCTGAAACAAAGGCTTCCAGTTGATTGGTCAGTCTCAGAGCGCGCTAGATAAAGAAAGAAGGTCTTCTCGTTTTAAAAATCGTCGGTGCTTACTGCATAACAGCTACACTTGCACTTTTACTGTAAACCATTATTACACTCTGTTACTGTAAACCATTATTACACTCTGTTACTGTAAACCATTATTACACTCTGTTACTGTAAACCATTATTACACTCTGTTACTGTAAACCATTATTACACTCTGTTACTGTAAACCATTATTACACTCTGTTACTGTAAACCATTATTACACTCTGTTACTGTAAACCATTATTACACTCTGTTACTGTAAACCATTATTACACTCTGTTACTGTAAACCATTATTACACTCTGTTACTGTAAACCATTATTACACTCTGTTAAAATAATAATGAATGAGAATTCTGAGTGTTCCATATGGCAAACTGTTTGATTTGCGCTTAGTGTAATAAGAATTTTTAACAATAACCCCTTTTGTAGTTAC